ATACGTGTGTGTGTGTGTGTGTGTGTGTGTGTAAAAAAAAGTAGGAAAATTTGTAATAAAATGTCTCAAAAGAAAATGTTGATCAAATGTCCAAAAAATATTATAAAAATTGTCATAAAAATGTTATTGATATGTTAGAAAAATATGAATAAAACATTTAAACAAATGTTGATAAAATGTCCTAGAAAGATTATATAAATGTCTGATAAATGTTAATGAAACTCAACCACGTGTTCTTTTTGTTGCCTAAATGTAACCATGTGCATTTCATGCTTAAGTAAAAAAAGACGTCACTTCGCAGTGTGGTACCAATGCAGTGCTTTTATTTTGAAAGAGACTGAACACAAACTGTACAAACCCATGTGAAAATGGGTCTGGTACGACAGGTGTAGAACTGAAGTGTACGTGTTTGTTCTCATGATTTCCTCTCCTGGTTCGGGATGAATGCGTGTGGTGGCGGCAGGCGGAGGAGGAGGAGGAGGAGAAGTTTTAGGCTGGTTACCGTAGCACAGAGAATGAGTTTGGTCCTGTGGTCAAGCTAGTTTGCTGCCTCTATTAAGGCGACGGCATTGGCTCTGTCTTTGAGGTCCCACAGTTTGATGCATTCCGTCAATCACTTGCCCTACAGCAGGAAACAGCACTTCAAAATGAAAGCGCCAATTGGGAAATTTGGTGTACTTCAAAAGTCGCCGTTTGTGACTAATGCCCTGATAATTCAAAGACACCTTCAGGTTTATGACTTGTCAAGTGTCTCTTCAGACAAGAATCTTTTCTCACACACTGTGTCGATTCCCGTGTAGCAGTAAACTTGCACTGTGTGTGAAAAATTTCTTGCAGACTGAGCAGCTGTAAGGTTTCTCTCCTGTGTGGATTTTAAAAGTGGACCTTCAGATTCCCACACTGTGAGCAAACCAACAGTTTCTCTCCTGTCCACCCGCCTTGTGCAAAAACATTTTATCACACACGGGGCAACTGACTGGTTTCTCTCCTACTTGATTTCTTGTACACTGAATGCTCTGTCCAGTACAACAAGAAATCCCATTAATAATGTGTGAAGTTGTGATTATCTGAAGGAAGATATGCTAAATAAAACATAAAATTGCTCTTAAAAATCAAGGAAAATTCATAAAAAGAGGAAACGGGAAACATTTCTAGTGTCGGCAAAAGACATTGCCAGATTTCTAATCCATCATTAACATTTTTAAAATGTGGGGAAAAAAAAACTTAATAAAAGAATGTTAATAAATGTTCAAAAAATATTGTTGAAATGTCTGAAAAATGTCAACCAAATATAATGTTATAAAACATCCAAAAAAAAGAGTAATTTTTTTTTTTTATAAAATGTCAGAAAATATAATTAATATGTCTGAAATAAAAAGGTTACTGTCAAGAAATATCACTAAACTGTCTGATAAAATGGTAATAAAATGTCCAAAAAATGTTTTTAAAAAATCTGTAAAGGGTTAATGAAATGTCCAGGAAAAAATTATTAAAATGTCCAAAAATAACCAAATGTTTTGTGAGTACTATATACTGTGTCTGATTATTGATTAATCTAACGATTATTTTTTGTCAATCTAAAAAAAAAAAAAAAAAGATCAATTAATCTAACTATTATTAACCTAACAGTTTTTTTTTTTTTTTTACCAAATAATCTAACAATTTTTTTAATCGATCAATCTCAATTATTTTTTGTCAATTAATCTCACAATTGTTTCCAATCAATCATTATTGATTAGTCTGCTAATTTAAGGACTATTTTAAAGTTTATTCTAAATATTATTTTTTCACAATGGGCTTAATATAACAATTTACCCCAAAATAAATATCAAAGACATGTCTGATAAATAATCATAAAAAAGGTATATGATTTAAAGATAGATCACAAGTCTGAGTATTCCAATGTGTTTATAATGCTTAAAAATATGAAATAGAACCCAAGTTTGCCAAAAGAGTTTTAAATAAAGATTATTTAAAAAAAAAAGGGACACATCCAATCAAAAAAGTAAACAATCCACCACAATAATATGATATACAGTAATATAATACATAATGTGATTAAGTAATGATACTTTGTGTTGTCTGTATTAATATAACATCACCACAGAAATATAATATATAAGTCTATTTAATGTTAAAAGACAGTATAACACATTAACATAATATATTATTACACAGTTCAGTTTATTATAGTTTGATATGTAAGATATTGTGTAACGTGACGTGTAGTAATCATAAAACAATTTAGAATATCAAATGTAATATGGTACAGTAGTAGATTATGATATAGTGAAAAAATATATATATAAAGAGATATTACAAATATATACCGCAGCATATAATTCATATATAAATATATAGTATATGTGATAATAATAATAATAATACTAATAATAATAATAATAATCTCCTGATTGAAGACATTACTATAAATTAATGAGGCTTTTATTTTGAAATCCGTACCCCGGAAGTGATCGTCGACGTGTTTCCGGCCTTAACACCGGGAGCAGTGAGCAGAGAGGATCCGTTAGTTGCATGAAATAACGGCAGAAACACCGATGATTTAGTTCGTTAATCAGAGATGGACCGACACCGGAAACAGCTGGAGGTGGCTTTTAAACCGGAAACGAAGCCGCGAAGTGAAGGTTTGTTTCCTTTCTGCCACTCTGCTAATGGTACTAAAGCTAACGTTAGCCTGTTAGCCGTAGCTAGCTTCCGAAGCTAACGTGTTTTATCTTTACTGAGACTGGTTTGATGTGTTTGAAAGAAGCTGGGACTGGGTTCCGGTTAATGTGACGTCACACTGAGAGTAGTTAGTGTAATTCTTATTTGGATATGAATCCATCAGAATCTCTGAAGTTGTGTATTTTACATTTGTATTGTTGTTGGGGTTTTTTTAAGAGACTAAATATTCAGTTCAGGAAATAACTCACACATTTGCCATCAAAACCTGGAATATTCATAATTTTGAAAATATATATTGCCACTTTTTTAGGAATAAAATGTGTAAATCAGGCTTTAAACTGAACCAAACCTCCACCTGCACCATCACCAGAGGGCACCGCCCCACCGTTCCTCAGACCTTCACTGTAAACATTTACTGTTAAATATTTTTTTGAAATAAGTGAGGTGAATATTTATAACGTTATAATCTGCAGTTTAATGTAGATTAAAAATGTTCTCTGTCGTCTGAGGTTACTGATACGACTCGTATACTACACTATTTCCCTTTGAGCTGTAGAGCAATAGCCTGGAAATCCAGACTCAAATCTAGAAAGATTTTGAGTCTGACCCTCACCGATACACCCTTCCTACCCAAGGGGCGGCTCTAACTGAGTCATATTAAATGTCACCACATACAATTGGATAGCGCAATGGCCAATCAGAGCAAAAAACAAGGTGACGTATTCATTACACTAAGCCCCATTTGTTTGCCAAACAGTGAGGCTAACTGATATATTCTGCTTTTGCCGTATCCTGTCGGCAAAACGGCAAAAACATCCTTCCTGGAAACGAAGGCTTCTAGTGCAGTCTTCTGTTCCTCTCTCAGGAAAAAGATAAGTGTAGTTGGCTTAGCATTTCTTCCAAAGCTAAATTGAATTCAGCAGCTGTCATCTTGGCTGTTTACTTTTAGACTCCCACAGCGCAGCGCTGTCTTCATCATGTTACGCCCGCCCAGAGCCCGCCTCTGTCAGATAGACTGATCTGATTGGTCCGATTGGCGATTCAGCGGGCTCTGCTCGTAGGGGCCAGATCCCAGTGCAGTGCAAATTCGAATTTGTTAAGGGCATCTGGATTTCCAGGTTAGTCGAGCAGTACAAGTATAACGAGGCATATAATGGATTCACTCAGGTTTAAAGTATGAGTTCCTCAGAATTTGTCATAAAGCTCAGTACTTGAGTTAATCTACTTTCCACTGTTGGAATGTTCTCACATAAACTCCACAGAGCGGCTGTAACGTAAAGATGTGTTAACACAAGTTTCCTATAACTCTGTGAAACCTGGAGGTAACAACTGTTGAATCAATTAAAGACAAAAAAGCCCTAAAAATTGGTGTGATTTTTTTTGTTTGTTTTCAAAAAGTATTGGAAAGAAGGCAACAAGCAAATTGGTCAGAAGTGTCTCACTAATAGCAAAAGATAAGAAGATTAGATTAGATTAGATTTAGAAAATTATTTAAGAAAATACATATTTAGAATTATAGTTGAGAACAATTGTAATTTTTAAGCACTTTTTCAGGTCATTTTCTTATTTGTTTGTTTTCAGCTTTTTTCTTTTTGACTAATTTTAAAAATAGTAAAAAAAAAAAAAAAAAAACGTGAAAATTAAAACAAGACAATTAGTAGAAAATGTTCAAAACAAACAAGGACATGACCCCAACAACCAGAAAAAAATAAGAGTAAAAAGATAATATTTAAAAAAAGAAAATTTGTTTAAAGCTTCCTCTCTTTTTGCAAATTTTTGGTCATTTCTTCTTTGGTTGCTTGCTGCCTTCTTCCTGTTTTTGAAATAAATCAAGCTCAGATTTCAAAGGGTTAACAGCCTTTTGTCTGTGTTTCAGTTTTACCTTCAGATGTCCGGAAAGTGATCGTCGGCGAAGAGGAGCAGCAGGAGTGGAGCTCCAGTGTGGACCAGGAGGACCCAGAGCCCCCACACATTAAAGTGGAAGACGAGGAACTGTGGAGCAGTCAGGAGGGAGAGCAGCTTCAAGGGCTGGAGGAGGCTGATATCACCAAGTTCCCATTCACTCCTGTCCCTGTGAAGAGTGAAGATGATGAAGAGACACCTCAGTCCTCACAGCTTCATCAGTCACAAGCTGATGGAGACCACTGTGGAGGACCAGGACCAGGACCAGACAGAAATTCGGATCCGAACAGATATTTAGGACCGGTCAGTGAAGACGAGTCTCTGGACTCGTGTGAGACTGAAGTCAGTGACGGGAACTGGGAGGAGAACAGAGAACCTCAGTCAGGTTTCACCACTCTGACATCTGATGATGTCATCGTCGGCGATATTAACTGCGACTCTGTGGAACGATCATTCAGCTGCTCCGAGTGCGGTCAGAGATTTGGCCGGAAGCCGCACCTGAACGCACACATGAGGATTCACACAGGAGAGAAACCATTCAGCTGCTCTTTCTGTGGGAAAAGATTTTCTCAGAAGGGAAACTCGATCAGTCACATGAGACTTCACACAGGAGAGAAACCGTTCAGCTGCTCCGTCTGTAACAAGACATTTAGATACAGTGGTGACGTTAGCCGACACATGAGGATCCACACGGGAAAGAAATCGTCTAGCACTAGTGACATCATCAGCAGGAACGTTCACATGACATCCGATCACAACAATCGACCTTCAGAAGCCGAGGGCGACGTCAGCGCCGAGCCTCAGTGTGATGATGTCACCATGAGCGAGGAGAGCCATCATGCTGACAAAGAGTCGTTCAGTTGCTCGGAGTGCGGGAGAACGTTCTGCCGCAGGGACCATCTGATGAGCCACATGAGGACTCACACAGGAGAGAAACCCTTCAGCTGCTCGGTCTGTCAAAAACGTTTCAGCTGCAGTGGGAACATTTTGGCACACATGAGGATACACACAGGTGAGAAACCGTTCCGTTGCTCGTTCTGCGCCAAAAGTTTCAGCCAGAAAGGAACTCTGCAGCTTCACATCAGGATTCACACTGGAGAGAAACCCTTCAGCTGCCCCTTCTGCGACAAACGCTTCGCGCACAAGAGACGCATGACGCTGCACATGTCGGTGCACACAGAGGAGAAACGCTTCTGCTGCGGTGCCTGTGACAAAAAATTCACCTGGTACACGCAGCTGAAAACTCACAGGTGCGTCGGCGAGTCCCCGCAGCTCCGTCAGAGAGAGAAGAAGGCGCCCGCCGAGAAGTCATTCGGCTGCAGCGAGTGCGGGAAGACGTTCAGCCTGAAGGGCAACCTGAAGACACACATGAGGATCCACACAGGAGAGAAACCATTTGGCTGCTCTGTCTGTGGCAAGAGTTTCAAACAGAACGTGCACCTGACGGAGCACATGACCATTCACACAGGAGAGAAACTGTATAAATGCAGCGTCTGCGGCCGAGGGTTCAACAAGAAGTCACTCGTCAGGAACCATCCATGTGTTTGAGGTCATCTGTCGCTGATCCATCAAATTACAAAAATCAGTAAAAAAAAATCCCAAGATTATTTAAAAAATAAAAATAAGTTAAAAACAAAATAACATGGAAATGACCCCAAAAATTGTAACGAAAAAAAAAATAGTGACCGGAGGAAATTAAAAACAAGAATATTGGTTTAAAAAAGAAAAGAAGAAAAAGGTCAAAAACAAACGAACAAGGAAATAACTCAAAAACTTCAAAGAAAAATTGTAAAAAGAGAAAATTCAAAAGGAAAAAAAGTTAAACAAATAAATTACCCCCCCAAAATTTAAAAAAACAAACAGAAAATTAATACAAAAAACTAAAATAAAAATAAGTTAAAATCAAAATTAAACAGGTGAAAAACAAGGAAATTAGTAAAAAAAAAAAAAAAGAGAGAAAAGTTAATGACCAATTTTCTTTTAAATTTTTTTTTTTTTTGTCTTTTTGTTGCAAAAAAACAGGTTTCTGACAACAATGTTTGCAGTGACAATGTTTAATTGCCTGTGTGCTTCCATTACAGACTGTTGCTTCCAGCTCACTCAATACTGGACCAGTTTCAAACCTTGTTGTTGACATCAGTCTCTTTGATCGAGCTTGACGGGGTAACACAGGGTCCAGGTTGAAAAAAGCCGAAGTTCTCCTTTAAAGCGCTGATGATAAAATAAAAGGAGGAGGAGCTCTGATTGTTTTTATGGACTGAAACTCATTGGTTGTGATTATGTCACAGTCATGTGACACTTTTGGATGTTTAGTTAATTATCAACAGTTATTTTGTATTTTTTCATGTAAAATAAAGTTGAGCTCCAATAAATAAATTTAAGTGACATCATGTTTTATTTCATGTGCCTGAATTTTTACTGGAACTGCAAATATGTTATTTTATTCTTTAAATAAATCTGTAACAGTTTCTGTGTCTCTGTTTTTTCTAAAAAGACTAAAACAATCTTAATACTCTCATGTTTTTAGGACCCCTGTCAGTCATGGGCCCTCAGAGTCTGGGTGGTGTGTGGTGCTGTGTATGAGCGGTTCTCCAGAATCGGCGGTTTGTAGCAGCAATATTATTAAATGCCCGAATAAATATTTATAAGATAAGTGTTTACATTAGCTTGCTTGCTAACTTTAGCATTCACTGGCTAGCTGACTTGCTCCTAGCTACAGCAGCATATTTTAATGAGCGCTGATGTGGCATAAGTTTAGTTTATGTGTGGGCGGAGACAGCAGTCAAATGTCGAGTATTTGTTTGCTATTGAAATAGAAGATGAAGAAGGGACAGTTAAAAAAAAACACAAAGCCATCATCACTTCCGGAAAGTGCAAAACAACAGCGAGCAATTTGAGACAGCACTACCCTGTTGAAATAAGTGCACCAAGCAAGAAGTACGTGGTGTACATCGTGTACTGCACTGAAGTGTACTAACGGAAGTCTGCGATCTGAGACACTTTGACTGAGACGTGTGACATATACACCTGTTAACCCCGCCCCCTATCAGCACAACACCCACACACACGCCACGACTTGTTTCTTCAGTCTTATAGGACGTCATCAAAGAGTTTCTACATGTCTGCCGGGACCAGAAGACCCCGAGGCTCAGTACATACAGTACTTATGTACAAACAAACAACTCAGAGACTCTTTATCTGATGACGTAGTTTCTCTAGATGGCATTGCTCTGGCCTCTAGCACTACCGTAAGAAACCTCGGAGTAATATTTGATCAAGATTTGTCTTTTAATTCTCATTTAAAACAAACCTCACGGACTGCATTTTTTCATCTGTGTAATATTGTGAAAATTAGGCCTATCCTGACCTGAAAAGATGCAGAAAAATTGGTCCACGCTTTTGTTACCTCTAGGCTGGATTACTGTAACTCTCTATTATCAGGTAGCTCTAGTAAGTCCTTAAAAACTCTCCAGCTAATTCAGAATGCAGCAGCACGTGTACTAACAGGAACTAAGAAACAAGATCATATTTCTCCTGTTTTAGCTTCTCTGCACTGGCTCCCTGTAAAATCCAGAATTGAATTTAAAATCCTACTGTTAACTTATAAAGCTCTAAATGGTCAAGCTCCGTCATATCTTAGAGAGCTCATAGTGCCATATTATCCCACCAGAACACTGCGCTCTGAGAACGCAGGGTTACTCGTGGTCCCTAAAGTCTCCAAAAGTAGATCAGGAGCCAGAGCCTTCAGCTATCAGGCTCCTCTCCTGTGGAATCATCTTCCTGTTACGGTCCGGGAGGCAGACACCGTCTCCACATTTAAGACTAGACTTAAGACTTTCCTCTTTGATAAAGCTTATAGTTAGGGCTGGCTCAGGCTTGCCCTGTACCAGCCCCTAGTTAGGCTGACTTAGGCCTAGTCTGCCGGGGGACCCCCCTATAATACACCGGGCACCTTCTCTCTCTCTCTCTCGTATCCTATTACTGCATCTTGCTAACTCGGCCATTCTGGATGTCACTAACTCGGCTTCTTCTCCGGAGCCTTTGTGCTCCACTGTCTCTCAGATTAACTCATATCACAGCGGTGCCTGGACAGCGTGACGTGTGTGGTTGTGCTGCTGCCGTGGTCCTGCCAGATGCCTCCTGCTGCTGCTGCCATCATTAGTCATTAGTCATACTTCTACTGTTATTATACACATATGATTATTGTCATACATGTATACTGCCAGATATTAATATATACTTTCAACATATTGTACCACAATAGCCAGAACTATAACTATAATATTATTACTTTCAATAATGTTGTTGTAAGCTACTGTTATTACCTGCATCTCTCTCTCTCTGTCTCATTGTGTCATACGGATTACTGTTAATTTATTATGTTGATCTGTTCTGTACGACATCTATTGCACATCTGTCCGTCCTGGAAGAGGGATCCCTCCTCAGTTGCTCTTCCTGAGGTTTCTACCATTTTTTTTCCCCGTTAAAGGGTTTTTTGGGGAGTTTTTCCTGATCAGCTGTGAGGGTCTTAAGGACAGAGGGATGTTTTATGCTGTAAAGCCCTGTGAGGCAAATTGTGATTTGTGATATTGGGCTTTAGAAATAAAATTGAATTGAATTGAATTGAACTTACAGAACACTGTAATGATCAGAGTTCATGTCTGTCTGAGGCGTCTCAACATCTGTACTACAAACACCTCGTCCACCGTTTTGCAGAACCAGGAAGCTGTAACAGGAAGTCACAGCTCAGACTTTAGCCTCTGTATTTACCCTACAATAGGGGTTTGTTACAACTACCAAAATTCATTGGTTTTATTGGGTGGCCCAAATGCATTCTACAATGTCTTGATTTTCCAACGGATTTCCAGTTACACGTGAAAATTCATACAGGAGCAAAACTGTTCAGTTGCTCAGTTTGTAAGCAAAGATTTGCACAAGGATTCAGGTGCGGTGCTCGAGATGTAAAAGTCAGTCCGGTTGAGACCTCACACTTTCATCAAAAACCAAAGTGCCAATGTCCAAACATGTCTGTAAAAAAGTTGATAAAAAGATGTATAAATCGAGAGAACGCTCGTTCTCCTCTTTTGAGAGACAAAGTTGCTCCTCGTACTCTATCGTTCTTTGAAACAGCCCAAATATCTCTTCAGCAGCTGCAGTTAGTCGCTGCTTCACCAACGCTCTCAGCATTCGGACTTTACACATCTTAACACCAGCGTTTCCTCCTCAGAAACATCAGACAGTTGCTCCATCTGCTGCACACTGTCTGACTCACTGTGAGCCACAGTGAAGAATAAAAGCCTCCCAGGCAGTGGAGCTGCTAACCTTCAAAATAAAAGTAATAAAAGATTACAGGCATATTCAGAAAAACATGCAGGAAGTAGGGGAATGGATTTTTTGTAATGTCAATGAAAATTCAAAAATATTTAGTCAACAAAATTTGAGAAGTTTTTATCAAAAATTCTAAACATTTCAGTCGATGGAAATTCAAAACATTTTAGTCAACAAGAATTCAAATCTTTTGCCGATGAAAATTCAAAAATTTTTAGTCAACAAAAATGTGAGAAGTTTTAGTCAAAAATTCAAAACATTTTAGACAACAACAATTCGAAACGTCTTAGTCAACGAAAATTCAAAATATTTTAGTCGACGGAAATTCGAAACACTTTAGACAATGAAAATTCAAAACATTTTAGGAGGCAAAAATTCAGAGCATTTTAGGAGAGAAAAAAATTCAAACTTTCTAGTCAATGTCAATTAAAAACATCTGGTTGACAAAAATTCAAAATGTTTCAGTCGATCAATATTCGTAATTATTTAGTCAACACAAATTCGAAACATTTTAGTCGATGAAAATTCTAATGGTTGCAGTTGACAAAAATTCCAAGAGTTTTCGCTGCTAAAAATTAAAAGATTTTTAATCAACAAACATGTGGGTTTTAGTCAAAAATTCAAAATATTTTAGACAACGAAAATTCGAAACGTCTTAGTCAACGAAAATTTGAAACGTTATAGACAATGAAAATTCAAAACATTTTAGGAGGCAAAAATTCAAACTTTTTAGTCAATGACAATTAAAAATATCTAGTCAACAAAAATTCAAAACGTTTTAGTCGAATATTCAAAATGTTTTAGTCAACACAAATTCAAAACATTTTAGATGAAAATTCTAATTGTTTCAGTTGACAAAAATTCCAAGCGTTTTAGTCAATGAAAAGTCATTACGTTTTGGTTGAAGAAAATTCAAAACATTTTAGTCCACAAAAATTTGAACCATTTCAGCCAATGAAAATTCAAAGTTATAGTCAAGAAAATTCAAAATGCTTTAGTCATTGAAAATTCATAAAGTGTTGGTTGAAGAAAATTCAAAACTTTTTATCTGCTGAAAATTCAAAAAGTTTTAGTTGACAAAAATTCAAAATATTTGAGTCAACGGAAATTCAAAACATTTTAGTCAATGAAAATTAATTGTAAAATGTGTATAAAATATGATAATGAAGGTATTTTTTTCCCAGAAATATCTTTATTTATACTCAAATACATTATAAGAACTTGGAAGACACTGTGTTCTCAACAGAAGAATATCAAAAACAGATTATTGTCCAACAACAAAATGAAGTCTTCCTTCACATGTTGGACATTTTGAAGATAACAAAATGCAAATAACAACAATCATAAAAGTTATAAATTATATGTAATAAAATAAAATAAACCAATAAAAGTATGACCAACCAAATGAGTATCTCTGAACACAACACCTGCATCATCTTCCTCTATTGTCTAAAACAACCCAACAGAACTTGCTAGCTAGTGCTAGCTAACGTCTGTGGAGAATTGTTTTCCCTCCAGCTAAGCCCCGCCCCCCCAAAAACATCATACAGTATACTGTTTATTAACAGATAAAAGGGATTTTCTTGGATGTAAGATGTTTGTCTGGATGTAAACCTAGAATAAAAAAACTTTGGGTCCAGTGTTAATTGTACGCCCAATATATTCTCCAGAGCTTGTTTAATCTCCTGGCCCACAGTGAAAAAAGGTCCTTTTCTCTGGTCCACACCTAATACACAGGTCTGGGAGAGCGTTATTATATTTCTTTAATTTTTTCTGGTGTCACATATGTTCTCATCATCCAGCCGCAGCAATCTGAGCCGAGTAATAACAGTCTGTGTTTGTGAATAAAGGTATTTTATTATACTTTTAAAATTAATAAATTATCACTGTTTGTTATTTCATGTTTTTTAATGCCATACACTCTTATTTAATTAGGGACAGTTCTTTACCTATTAGAGGAGAGGGATGGCTAAGATGTGGCTCTATTCTTTTTTTGACCCTCCGTTCACCAGTGTTAATTTTGACAGCTATTTTAAATTTAGTCTCAGTCGAGACAAAAATATTTATTAGTTTCAGTCACATTTTTGTCATTTTTATCCTTCGTATATTTAGCCCACAAAAATGCAGATTGTTTTAGTCAATGAAAATTTGAAATGTTTTGGCAACAAACATTCAACATGCTTTTGATTGATGAAAATTCAAAACATTTTATTTGACAAAAATTCTAAATGTTTTACTTGACAAAAATTCATAACATTTTAGTCGACAAGAATTTGACATTTTTGTCAACTTTTAATCATTATGTTGTCTGTGTGTTTTTTTTAATCTTTAAACTAATCCAGTGAGGCTAATTCATGTATCAGAAATTTGAATCAAGGTCGCTAAACAGGAAGTGGTTTGTAACTCCAGTATACATGGTCCAATCTGCCCCAAATTTCACTCGTTTCATAAGGCTCAAGGCCTGAGGGCATAAAAAAAAAAAAAAAGAAAAAAAAAATCGGTGCCATAGTCATTGTGCCACCTACTGGCAACAGGAATCAAATGTTGTCAGACAATATCTTTTGATTTACATGAAATTTACATAATGGGGTTGACAACTGATTTCCAGCAACATGACATATAATTAGTGTTCTGCAGCAGTGTCTGACTTTTACAGAAATAAACATGGTTGTTCATTTCTGTAAGCCGGCGTCCTGTTTTAGTCAAGAAAAATTGTTGACAAAAATTCAAATAATGTTATTTGACAAAAATTCAAAACATTTTAGGTGATGAAAGTTTGAAACATAGAAGACAAAAATTCTAACCGTTTAAATCCCCGAAAATTCAAAACATGGTAGTAGACAAAAATTTGAACCCATTTAGTTGATGAAAATTCAAACAGTTTAAGTCAACAAAAATTGAAAACATGTTCATTGTGGAAATTCAAAATGTTTTAGTTGACCAACATTGGTCCACCATTTTGAATTTCCTGTACAATTCTTGTACATTTCCAGGGGTCATACTTTAACCCTTTTACACATTTCACCATTAAACAGGAAGTTGTTGTAACTTGAGCATACACTGTCCAAACTGCCTAAAATTTCTCATGCTTCATGAGAGTCCCAGCCTCATCGCTTCTACATGCCAAAATTAACCTACAGAAATAGCCTCACTCACTGACAACAGGAAGTAGCTGATGTAATGTTATCAATAAGTTGTAAAATAGCTATAAATGACATATAGTTTTTGCAAAGTCAACATTGTTGCTCATATAAGATGTTGCTTCAGTCTGTTGAATTGCACTGCTGTCTGGAGGCTCCACCCCATTGTTCTCCTCAGTCTGATGAAGCTGTGACAAATGACGACTGTCACACTGATGGTTTCTGAGGTGAAAAAGCCACGTGAATCTTTGGTCAAAAACACTGCGGTTGAATCTTTTCTGACATGCTCTCATGTGCGCCTTCATATTTCCACTTTCCCGGAAAGGTTTTCCGCACACTGAGCAGCTGAACGGTTTCTCTCCCGTGTGGATCCTCATGTGTGTCTGTAAACTCCCGCTTTGTGTGAAAGCTTTCTCGCACACTGAGCAGCTGAAGGGTTTCTCTCCCGTGTGCGTGATCATGTGTCGCTTCAGATGTGCCTTCTGCAGAAATCTTTGACTGCAAACGGAGCAGCTGAACGGTTTCTCTCCCGTATGAGTTATCATGTGTCGCTTCAGATTTCCCTTGAACCCAAATCTTTTCCCGCACTCAGAGCAGCTAAACGGTTTCTCACCAGCACTGCATTGAAAATCACTGACAGGGACTTCATCATGTTTCAGAGAGTTTCTTGTCTCCGTCCACTCAACATATTCAGGACAGATCAACGCTTTGTTGCCAGAATCACATCCCATAAAACCAGACGGACGCTCTCTGGTCTCTGTCCAAAAGTCACTGTCAACGCTGTCATCAGTATCTGGTTGTAAATGTGGATCTGGATCAGAGCCTCCAGGCACTGGTTGTACTCCTCCACCAGGCGCTGGTCCTGGTCCTGGTCCTCCACAGTGGTGTCCCTCAGACTGAGGTTTCTCTTCATCATCTTCACTCTTCACAGGGACAGGAGTGAATGTGAACTTGGTGATATCAGCCTCCTCCAGCCCTTGAAGCTGCTCTCCCTCCTGACTGCTCCACAGTTCCTCCTCTTCCTCTTTAATGTGTGGGGGCTCTGGGTCCTCCTGGTCCACACTGGAGCTCCACTCCTGCTGCTCAGGGGGAACCTCTTCTTTAACCACCAACAGCTGCTGCTGGACCTCTGCACCAAACAGGAAACAGGAAAGACACACTGAGACAAATTTCATGCAAGCATTTTCTGACATTCTATCAGCTTTGTTTCAGACATTTTATTATCATATTTCAGGCATTATTTTAATATTTTTGATTATTTTATCACCATTTTCCCAAACATTTTTTAAACATTTGCTCAGACAATGTAATATTATTTTTCAGACCTTTTATCACAATTTTTTGGGACTTTTAATGAAATTTTTAAGACATTTGATTAACATTTTTTTTGCAAATTTCAATTATGTTGTTCAGACATTTATCAACATTTTCTTTGACATTTTTGGACAAATTTTATCATTTTATGGGACAATTTAATATTATTTCTGAGATATTTTATCAATTTTTCTCCTACATTTTTTCATCATTTTATCGGACAATGTAACATTATTTTTCAGACCTTTCATCACCTTTTTGGGGTATTTCATTTTGTTTTACAGGCCATTTCATTAACATTTTTATAATATTTTTTTCTGAAATTTTCACAATATTTTTCAGACATTTCAACAAAATGTTTCTGACGCTTTATCACCAGTTCTAGACATTTATTTATCATTATTTCAAACATTTGTGTAATATTTCTTTGGACATTTTATCAAACTTTTTTCAAACATATTCTTAATTCTTATCAACCTTTTTTTAAAAAAAAAATTCATCAGCAGTTTTTCAAAGTTTGTGTCAATATTTTTTGGGAAATTTTATCAACATTTTTTTCAGACATTTTATCAACATTTATTCGTGTTTTTTCAATTTGACATTTTATTAAAATGGACATTTTAATGATATTCTTTTGAAATGTTATCAATATTTGACATTGTTCAAACATTCAAAAAAAATTCTTCTGACAATTTTGATATTTTTTGCACATTTCTTCAAAAATATAATTTTCTCCTGACATTTTTATGGTATTTTTAGTTTAATATTTTTCAAAAAGTTTTTTAGACACATCAATACCATTTCTCACCACCACAAAACCTCAAAAGTATACCCGTATACGTGTGGACTGGGCCTCACTGCATCACACAACCACCAGAGAAGAAGAAGGTGAAGAAGAAGTAGTTTTGGTAACAGACCTGCTCTGTGTTTATAACCACAGAAGAAGACACTAACCTGCTGTGTGTTTATAACCACAGAAGAAGACACTAACCTGCTGTGTGTTTATAACCACAGAAGAAGACACGAACCTGCTCTGTGTTTATAACCACAGAAGAAGAAGACACTAACCTGCTCTGTGTTTATAACCACAGAAGAAGAAGACACTAACCTGCTCTGTGTTTATAACCACAGAAGAAGAAGACACTAACCTGCTCTGTGTTTATAACCACAGAAGAAGAAGACACTAACCTGCTCTGTGTTTATAACCACAGAAGAAGAAGACACTAACCTGCTCTGTGTTTATAACCACAGAAGAAGAACACACTAACCTGCTCTGTGTAACCTGAGCTGAGGGTTGTAAACAGCGTCCAGTAGTTTCCGTTGTCGCTCGTTCTCCTCTTTTGAGCGACAAAGTTGCTCCTCGTACTCTGCTATCGTTCTTTCAAACAGCCCAAATATCTCTTCAGCAGCCGCAGTTAGTCGCTGCTTCACCAACGCTCTCAGCATTTGGACTTTACACATCTTCACAGTCTCTCCGTGATGCTAATTCCGCTAACAGCTAGCATGCTAAGCTAACTCCAGTAGCTCTGTAGTCCACCGGGAGATAGACCTACGTCTGAGTTAAAAACAATCAGAGGATCTGCTGGAGTTCATCATACTTTTTACTAGCTACAAACAGACTCTTTCACCAGCTGAGTTGAACCAGCGAGTCGCCATTTTGATCAAAAAACAACAATCCGCTGCGGGAGAGAAAAACACTTCTGGGTCACCGGCCCTTCAAAATTAAACGCACAGGGTTCATCCCCTTATCCCTCCTTGACCCCTCGACTCCTCCGTCCTCTATCCATCAATTGACCCGGAAATCGATTTAGATTCGCCATCTGGTAGGACGTCTCAATTCGTTAAATGCACTCGTTGGAGTCGAGGAGAAAGGAGGCTTTCAGAGGAGAGAGGAGGCTTTCAGAGGAGGGAGGATGCTTTCAGAGGAGGGAGGAGGCTTTCAGAGGAGAGAGGAGGCTTTCAGAGGAGAGAGGAGGCTTTCAGAGGAGAGAGGAGGCTTTCAGAGGAGAGGGAAGTGAGGATGCACGAGTGCAGCCTTCACAGAAGTCTTGTACCGACTGACACACCCCATGATTGGATAGCAGTTATTGATTGGACAGCTGATCGGACTGATCTGATCCATCAGTTTCATACAGACACATAAGAGATTAAACTCAGTGTGTCACTGACAAGTTGGATATTTGATTTGTTTTCCGATTCATCGACTTAAAAATCTGAACAAAAAACAAACGACTCTCTGTCAGGCGGTATTGGGCTGAACCCCTGCTTATCAATAAACATAAACCGGATGTATTCTTAATCAATAAGTTACTTAACAGGAAACGCTTGAAAATGTGTAGATTATTGACGTTGTGCTGGTCAGTGTGTTTTATTCTGACAGTACGCTGGTGGAGCCGGATGTTATCTCTCCGGGAAGGGGGCGGAGCGACTGGGCAGCTGTAGCCGTCTGACAGGGCTCGAAGAGCGGCTGCTAGAGGCGCGAGACACCCCTCAGCCCGGTTCTCTGTCCTCTGGGGAAGATGTGTAAAGTCCAAATGCTGAGAGCGTTGGTGAAGCAGCGACTAACTGCGGCTGCTGAAGAGATATTTGGGCTGTTTGAAAGAACGATAGCAGAGTACGAGGAGCAACTTTGTCGCTCAAAAGAGGAGAACGAGCGACAACGGAAACTACTGGAGCTCCGCGCGGGACCGGAAATAAACAGAGCAGGTTTGTTGAAGATTTTTTCTTCTTCTTCTTCATTGTAACTCCAAAGACGTTATGTTGCATTGAAACAAGCTAGCCAGACAGGCTAACAGTTAGCTTCCTGCAGCTGCGTCAAAACAAACCGATATTCACACGGACTACGGATGTTCAGTATTAGGGGCCTTCAAAATAAAAGCCCAAGACGCGACCATATTCAGTTGATAAAGTAAAATGAAATTTAAGAAATAAATAAAAGATGACGCTTACATTCACACTAATGTATTTTCCATTGTTTTCATCCACACTAACACGCTTTCATTCACACCAACACATTTTCGTCCTACAACAAATTCATTTTAAAATCTTTAAATCTTTAATCTTAAAAAAAAAAAAAACACTCTGTACACACGAGCAAAAACAAAATATGGCAACATGTCAGAGCGGTAATGGGATCTCTGTCCATTGCTGGATATAGCCATGGCGATGGGAAAGAAGTACCCTCAAAAGAAGGACGAAATCACAAAAGGTATGTAGACCTGGCCGTAACATTTTGACTGATAGACCCTAAATGTAGCTATCTGCGTCATTATTATCAAAAGTGTTCGTTTCCACTCGTCCACACTGAAACACGACCCCAGATTTTTCACATTAAAACAGGTCCAGCAGTGTTGTCAGAGGTCACCATTTTAGGGGGAACCACAACACCGAAGCATTGTGGACACTGCACATAAACGCAGCAATTGTTTTACATTTTTAAAACAAAAACATAATAGTGTGGATAAAACCTCAGTGACGTTCAGAACTCGGTGCAAATCAGATGATGTGCTAAGAATATCACTGCATGCCTGTTTCACTCTCACCTTCAGATGTCCGCAAAGTTTCCGAGAGTAAAGAAGAGGTTCCCCCTGAGCAGCAGGAGTGGAGCTCCAGTGTGGACCAGGAGGACCCAGAGCCCCCACACATTAAAGAGGAAGAGGAGGAACTGTGGAGCAGTCAGGAGGGAGAGCAGCTTCAAGGGCTGGAGGAGGCTGATATCACCAAGTTCACATTCACTCCTGTCCCTGTGAAGAGTGAAGATGATGAAGAGGGACCTCAGTCTGAGGGACACCACTGTGGAGGACCAGGACCAGTGCCCGGAGGAGGAGTGCGACCATTGCCCGGAGACTCTGATCCAGATCCCGATGACAAGACCGGAGACTCTTCTGAAGTTGAGACTGACGACAGTGACGATTGGACGGAGACCGGAGAACTTCAGTCAGGTTTAAACTCTGTGAAAAACGATGACCTACCTGCCAGCTATTCAAGACGTAGTGCTGATGAGAAGCCGTTCAGCTGCTCTGAATGCGGGAGAACATTCGGTAAAAGCGGCTACCTGAAGCGACACATGAGATCTCACACAGGAGAGAAACCATTCAGCTGTCCAATGTGCAAAATGTCTTTTGGACAAAGCGGATGTTTGAAGCGACACATGAGGAGCCACAAAGGCGAGAAACCGTTCAGCTGCTCCGTTTGTGAGAAAAGATTTTTGCGCCGAGGAGACCTGAAGAGACACACGATAACTCACACGGGAGAGAAACCATTCAGCTGCTCCGTTTGCAGTAAAGGATTCATCCAGAAGGTTCATTTGAGACAACACATGACACGTCACACGGGGGAGAAACTTTTCGCCTGCAGCATTTGTGACCAAAGATTCACCTGGCTTTACCAGCTCAGGAACCATCAGTGTGTCGGGCGTCAGTCGTCACAGGTTTTCCAAACTGAGGAGAACAGAGGGGCGGAGCCTCCAGCCAGCAGCTTAACTCAACAGAGACAACAGATGGGAACAGAAGCTGATGGAGAGGACTGTGGAGGACCAGAACCAGCCAGGAACTCGAATCCAGATTTACAACCAGATACTGATGACAAGACCAGAGACTCTTCCGAACTGACGACCAAATTTCCCTTGTGTGATGTCGGATTAAATAATGGCAAGAAACTGTTTAGCTGTGCCGAGTGCAGTAAAACATTCGGCCACAAGACACACCTGCGGGAACACGTGAGAGCGCACACAGGAGAGAAACCATTCAGCTGCTCAGTCTGTAACAAGTGGTTTTCGTGGAGGACGCAGTTACAGAGGCACATGAGAGTCCACACATCGGAGAAACAACAGCTGGAATGTTTGTGACTAAATGTTCAGTAGTAGGCCGACTTAGTGAGTCCTCACTGCACCAGGAAAACCAATCAGTCTTCATGAGGTTTTAACAGTCCTGAATCCCTTTAAGAGATGGGACATGATCCTGAGAGACACATTCCCGGTGGTGATGAAGTCATATGGACCATCTGCTTCAACACATTAAGGCCAATTTGTGCTTGGGTTTCCTCCAGGTGCTCTGACATGTTCTCCCCGTGTCAGCGTGGGTTTCCTCCAGGTGCTCCGACATGTTCTCCCTGTGTCAGCGTGGGTTTCCTCCAGGTGCTCCGACATGTTCTCCCTGTGTCAGCGTGGGTTTCCTCCAGGTGCTCTGACATGTTCTCCCTGTGTCAGCGTGGGTTTCCTCCAGGTGCTCCAGCTTCCTCCCACAGTCCAAAGACATGCAGGTTAATTGGTGACTCTAAATTGTCCGTAGGTGTGAATGTGAGTGTGAATGGTTCTGTCTCTATGCGTCAGTCCTGTGATAGTCTGGTGACCTTACGGACACTATAACCATTAAAAAATTGAGTTTAACACATTAAATGACTGACTGTGGCTGTTGTGTGGCTGTCATTTTGTTTTCAGGCTGTCTGAAACTCTTATTTACAATAACAGATGTGACAGTAGAGGTGGCGTAACTCTGCGTCACTATTGTTACTCAGAATACTCTACACTGAAAATGTTCCTTCAGTAAAAGTATAAATCAGGAAAATATAATGGTAGAATTAAAGTATTAAAAGTTTTAAAATATCTCCTGTGACTGTGATTATTGTCTCCATTAATCTATTTATTGTTTGGTTTGTTAAAATAGTGAGAAATGTTCGAGATACTCAAGTGAAGTTTGGTTCATCAGACAGGACCGTAGCCTATATTTGAAACTCTTGAGTGAGGTAGACTGAGATGCAATTTGAATACGACTGTTCCAAAGCTGAGCCCCTCTATATCTGATGGAGAATTGACAAAGCCTAGTACGAAACATTGGAAGATGTAAACATTTGTCATGTCTCGTATTGTACTTATGAGCATCACTGTTAGTCTGGAAAAATTCTTTACAAGGAATGGAAAGTGAAGCAGATGGATGCAAAATTTTGTAAATTAATATACAGGTTTGATATACATTTATTTTAAAAATTGATAAAATATTAAGCTGATTGAAGAGAGGGGCTGAGTGTTCTATCCTATTGCTGAAAGTGGCAATTCTGCAGAACGTTTTTTGTAAAATATAAAGCTTATGAAGGTGAGTGGGATAGGTAGCTCCCCAAATAACATTGCAATATATAAGGTACAGATGGATTAAATTATAATAGGATTAATAAACACTTATGATGAACCAAACCTTGAATTCTGCCAATGATACCAACAGACCTAGACATTTTATTGCAAACAGACTGAATATGAGTCTTCCAGCTTAGAGTTTCATCAATTATGACTCCAAGGAAACTTGTGAATGAAACCTGGGTAATTGAGTTGTTTCCAATGGAAAGACAAGAGTTAGATCTAGAGTATTTTTTGTTTTTTGAAGTGAATACAATAAAATTAGAGTTATTAACATTTAAAGATAATTTGTTTAATAGAAACCATTTGGAAATTCTTTCTAAATCAGTGTTGGCTTTGGCCGTCAGTACAGAAAAATTAGAATGTGAGACGAATAAATTGGTACCATCGGCAAAAAGTACAGGAAACATGGAGGATAATGCTGCAGCCAGATCATTAATGTAAATGAGGAATAGGAGTGGTCCTAAAATAGATCCCTGTGGGACCCCACAGGTTATAGTCGCCCTATCAGATGTCGATCCATTAATGTTAAACTGTTGTCAATTATGAATATAATTGTAAAACCATGTATAAGTAATTCCAGTAAAACCATAATGTAACAATTTTTGAAGTAAAATATCATGATTAACCGTGTCAAAAGCTTTGGATAAATCAAGAAATACTCCCAAAGCATATTCGTTGTTATTTAAAGCAGTGTGAATTTTGTCAACCAGTTGAAGCACACCCATTTCAGTGGAATAGTTTTCCCTAAATCCATACTGATGTTTATACAGAATGTTCCATTTCTGCAGATGGATCATAATTCTATTGTAAACCAACTTCTCCAAAATCTTGGAAAAACATGGAAGGACAGAGATAGGGCGATAGTTATTAAAAGAGCTACGGTCTCCAGATTTAAACACAGGAATCACTTTGGCAATTTTCAGATCACTCGGAATTGTTCCAGACTCTAAAGATTTAGCAAATATATAGGTCAATGGCCTGATGAATGAGGGAATAGATTTGTTAATCAGACTTGACCTGACCTCATCATAACCAGCAGCAGAATCCTTCATATTGACAATGATGTCCATGATTTCCTTCTCAGTAGGAGGGTCAAAGCTCTGGAGAGAAGGATAACAACCTTTCAGGAACTCAGATGGAGACCCAGTGATAGGATGCATCCTCTCTGATAGAACTGAGCCAATATTGACAAAATAATTATTAAAAGCACATGCAATATCGGATGGATCTGTATAAACTCTATTCTTGTCAACAAACTGAGGAGGAAGAGTGGCTGATTCCTTTTTCCTATTCAGGAGCTGATTGATGACTCTCCATGTTGCTTTAGTATTATCTGATGCCTCATCAAACTTGTTGGTGAAATATTTTTTCTTTGCAATTCTAATTAAATGGTTATATTTATTTCTATACTTCTTATAATTCACAGCATTCAAAGGAGATGGATTTGTGATAAATTTCCTGTATAACTTTTTCTTTGTTAATGCTTACTTGTGGAGACCTGGAGTGAACCAGGGTTTACTAAATGTAGCTACTTTTTTATATGCTAATTGACCAGAGGAAAACACCTGTTAAATACAGAGTTAAAAGATGCTATAAATGACTGATATGCAAATTCAACATCATCATGCATGTATACATTATCCCATGGGACATCATCAGTCAGCTTCCCAAATAGGTCAATGTTTCTTTTGTTTAATACTCTGAACCTTGGGGATTTCACTGTTTCCTGTTCTCTGCCTATGGGAGTTGTAGTAAAATGAAATACTGGGAAATGATCAGAAATATCACAGTAAAAGACACCAGACCTCCACACATTATTAAGAGAGTTGGTAAATATGTTAGCAGTAAGGGTTGCAGATGAAGAAGTTATCCTAGTAGGTTTAGTGATTAAGGGATATAGGGAATTTGCATACAATATATTCAAAAAGTCAGCAGTGAGTGAATGAGACTCACTATTAAACAGATTAATATTGAAGTCACCTAAGAGGAAACATACTTTGCCTTCTTGGTTAATTTTATCTAAGACACAAGCAAGACTAGAATTAAAATGTCCAATGTTAGTGTCTGGCGGCTTATATATGCAATCAATGATAACACTTTTACTATCAAAAATATCACAGGAGGGAATTTCAAGAAACAGAGATTCAACATCATTACAGACAGAGTTAAAAGTAAAATCATCTCTATGATTATAATGAAGTTTGTCATGTAGATATATAGATATACCTCCACCAGTTCTAGCCTTTCTGCAATGATGCAGAGCATGATCATTTGGGATGCTATAGAGAGATGTAGACTCATCAGTTAACCAAGTTTCTGTAAATGCTATCACTGAAAATTCATGATTAAATGAAGACAAAAATTGACAAAGTGGATCATAATTCCTGGAGAGACTGCAGATATTTAGATGAAAAGTGGAGAACATCTTTGAATGGGGCTTTGGCATTTCAAGTAGTAGACTATTTAACTTATTAATATTAAAATAGTCACAGGATAGAGACTCTGAAATTAGAGAGCTAAAAAAATTTAAAACAGGATCAAAAAGCTCCATAAATTTAGTGTCACTCTGTGGGCTCAATTCAAAAGGATTGAAAACCCTATGGTCTAAAATAGTTTTTTTCCAGTAATCATGATTAATATCAGTAATCAGAACGTCATCATCAATATCATGATAAGGAAATAAGGAGACACATTTAGAACAAGTCCAAGTGCTCCATTCATCCAGATCATGTTCACTGACAGACATGCATCTCAGGTGGTAACACATTTTACAACAAGAACAACAGATAATGGAGGCTGAAATCTGGATGTGACAGTGGCAACAAAGAGAGCTATAGTGCATGATGGGCATGGAGGTGCTCATGAGTGGACAAACATACTGAATTACATGTTGAAATTAAATAAAATACTGTGTGAGTGAGTGAGTGAGTGAGTGAGTGAGCATGTGTACTGTATGTGTATACATGTATGTATGTATGTGTGATTGCATTGCTTCTAACTGTCAGAAGTCAGAGCATTGTTTCGCCTCGACCATGGTGCTGGTTTATGGGATGGTGAGTGTACAATGAGTTTGTCATAGCGCAGGTAGGCAATCTCCCCCCGTTCCCTGGCAGCCCTCATGGCTGGAAGAAGTTCTTTTCGCTTCTGTCGAACAGCTTCAGGAAAATCTTCATTGATAAAAATATCAGTGCCTTTCAGGGCTTTGGCTTTGCTGATGACCTCCAGTTTGTCCTTATAACGTAGAAACTTGACCATAATGGGCCTGGGCCTGGTGGAGGATGAGGAAGGCTTTCCAGTCCGATGGGCCCGCTCCAGCTCAATTTTGCGAGGGTCTATCTGAAGCTTCTTAGACAGCAGCTTCTTCACTTTTTCCTCAGAATCAGACCATTTTTCATTAACTGATTCATTCAAACCATCAGTGACAATATTGTTACACCTTGACTGTCCTTCTAGATAATCACTTTTGTCACTGAGTGAGATGAGACTTTTGCAGACTGTTTCAACATCATTCTTGGTTTCTTTACAAGCATCACACCATGACTTGCAATGGTTTTTAAAGTCCTGAAATTCCTTTTGAGTGAATTCCAAACTAATCCTGAGGTCTTGGACTTCTCTCTGCAGTTCCCCAACTCTTTTGTTTGAGGAATCAACAAGTAATTCAACACATGATTTGAAGTTTTTCTCCTGTTGTTCGAGAAGTGCTTTATAGAAATCCTTTTGTTGTTCAAGTAATTCACATACCTGAGCCATGGAGATGGGCTCCTCCAAATTGTTGTTGGAGCTTCCTTTAGATGGCATGGCAAATGAAAATCAGGTCGGTTGAACCACTAGGCCCAGGATAAGGCCTACAAGGCCAGAAGTCTTGATGATGTGAGTCAAGCAGATTTACCCTTCAAGAGCTGGATTCCTGGACAAGATTGATGATGAAGTTGGTGAAACCTTTGTTTAGCTCAACTTTATATGTATATACCAAAACAGATCAAGGATTCAAGAGATA